TCGTTATGTACGTATGATTCGACGGCGCGACGTTTGGGCGTCACCGTGGGCGGGCCGAAAGATTGGAACGACGTGCCCCACCGTTGTGCCGCAGAGGTTCTGGTGCTGATCAACTTCGAGGGCACCATGGGGGACGAGATTACGGTGCGAATGGGGGACGTGGTCAAGAATGTCACTAAGGCCAGCGAGGACGGCTGGCTGGAGGGCGAGCTGCGAGGCAAGCGAGGCATCTTCCCGGCCAACTTTGTCAAGGTCCGTTTGGCCGACGGCGGCGGCGAAGCGGCCCGCTCTCCGCTTTGCTCACGTGTTTCGGGGCGGTCTTTCCAGGAGGTGCCCGTTTACTTGACGGGGAACAGCAAGCGGGAACCCAGAAGCATCCGAACAAGTACGCGCCTCGGTCCTCGCTAAATCCGCGGTTGCTCGTTGCCTCTAAACTTTCGTCTCTCCAGCCAAGAGGATGAAACAAGCCAGGACGTGCGAGGTGGTGTTTGCCTACAGCCCCGTGAACGAGGACGAGCTGCAGTTGGTCGTCGGGGAGACGGTGGAAATCCTCAGCGAGGTGAGCTTTCGCATCTCGTGACAGGAGTGAGCCCGCGAGGCTTTCCTGTGACGCAGACGCAGGCGCGAGCGGACCGTCGACCCGACGGCTTCCGCCCCAGGTTGTCAGACAGCTGCCGGACGTGTTTCTGAAGCGCTCGCTGCCTCTCTAGATTGAAGACGGATGGTGGATGGGCATCAAAAATGGCAGCGTGGGGGCCTTTCCGTCCAACTTCGTCCGAGAGATCTTCGTCGCCCCCAAAGGTGCGTCCCGCCGGCGACTTTGAGCTCGGATTGTTTCACATTTTCATTCTTTCCGCACAACCGAACGCGTTTCCCGGATCTGAAAACGGACCGAAACATCACCGCCGTCTGCAATCCTGGCGAAAATGTGACTTGTGAGCCCGTTCGGGCGAAGGGCGGGCGCTGGCCCATATCTGGCGAAGGGCCCGTGCTCAACAATTCAGGACAGTTGTCAATTTCCCCGAAGATGTCTCTGAACGTGATGAGCTGATCTTTGTCTCGACAGACAGCAAACACAACGACGGCAAGGCCAGACCCAAGCTCAGCGATGCGGTCTTCAGTAAAGAGGTGGAGGAGTCCTGCGATCGCCAATGCCCCGGCGCGCCGTGGCGATGGCGCTGGCGCCGCTGATGGTTGTTTTTGGCTCTTTTCTAGATCTCTCAGAGAGCGACGGTGCGCAGCAAGGCCAAAAACGGTAGGTGACGCTCGTCATACTTTGCGTCGGTGCCGCGCAGGCCGAAAACACCCTCGCGGTTGCTCAGGCTGACGACCGATCGCGGCCCAGCTTGCTTTTTGAAGCCGGAGCCTCGATCGGTGGTCGACTTCCCCCCCTTTGAAGCGATTAGCCCGACGGAGTTTCAGAAAGCAGAGAGACAGGTCTTGTTCGGAGCCTCGCAACCCCAAGCATTTGTTGTGATTGAGCTCAAGCTCAAATATGCGGAACGCGGATTTGTCGCTCGCCGTGTCGACTTTGAGCCATCAGGGGGTTTTCCCAGGCGTGACGCTGGCCCGATAAGCGCAAGAAACGTCCGTCGCTGGGGAAATACGGAGACTGCGACGTGCGATTTGTCGTCTTTCCTCAGTGGTGGAGTGCTGTCAAGTCATGTTCGACTACAAGGCCAAAGCGGAGGACGAGCTGGATTTGAAGATCGGGGACGTGGTCGTCATCCTGAGAAAGGTTCCTTTTTTTCTCCGCTGCCGTCCGTTCTTTGCCGATGCTTGTCCTGTAAGGTCGGATTTGGCGACGGGTGACCAAGACCGGCCCGAGGTTTTTGGCGAAGCAGCCGATCGCAAAGGAGTCTTTGAGAATGACTTGGAGGAGGGACGCTTTGGGTCGGGTTCCCCCCCCCCTTGTTGCGCTCTTTTCCGGCCTCATGCCACCTTGCTTGCGCGTCCGCAGGAAACCGAAGACGACGGCTGGTGGGAGGGCGAGCTCAACGGCCGCTGCGGATTCTTCCCCGATAACTTTGTCATGGTGATACCGCCCATGGACAGTCTGAAGGTGAGCGAACGGACAAAGGTGGTCCCCAACCACCGGTGTCCAAAGACCAAGAGCCTTTCTTTCTTTCTTTTTGTTTTTGCTGACCTTGCAAA